TGATATATACAAAAACATAAAAAAAATGCTTTAAGCTTTATAAAAACATTTTCCAAATCAAATACTATTCTGGAAGGCATAATATTTATTTAGTACAAAAAAAAAATAATAGGAATCATGTACTAAATAAATCTTTTCAAAATTTAAAACATTTTTTCAAAATATTTTTCATTTCAAATATTACTAGTATCTATTTAACACTAAAAACAATATAATTTAAGAAATTTACTAAATAAACTTTTTTTAATCAGGTTTATTTAGTTTAATGTTTTATCATTTCAAAATAAGAATCAATTCAAGGCTAACAAATCATAAAAACAATAAAAATAAAACATTGAAGATGAAGTGAAAAAAGCTTAAATAACAAACTTTTAAATTGTTACAAAAAATTAATAAGAAATCTTAGATTTTGATTGGGTTACTATTTTAATTTAGATTTTGGTTATGTTTAATTCATTTTAGCTTTTAAATAATTACTAAGTTATTGACTTTTTAAAATAAATTAAATATAGTTAAGTTAGTTCATTTTTATAATTATGTGCATTATATTATTTTTAATTAAATTAAAATTTAAAATAAGTAAAAATTTTATTTATACTCAATTTGAGTTTTTAATTGTTTCATTTTTGAGTTGATTAATTTATGTTATTTTAACTACACTTTTATGACACCAGTAATAAATTTCAAACCAAAATAAGAACATAATACAATGAAAATTTAAGTGCAAAAATGATGGAGATACTAATTATAATTCAAAAAGAAAATCCTTATACCCAAGTTTTTTAGAGATTAAATGATATATCTTTTTTTGAGGATTTTGAAATTTATATTATAAAAATGTTAATTTAGACCAACAAGTTTATAATCAAGTATTTGTTGATTAGGTTGTTGTTATAAGGATTGAGGGAAACAATCCAAACATTTCATTTGAAAGAGATATCATAATTCATGCTCATTCAGGAAAACAACATGCAATTAAACATTATTTGGGTTGTCATAACCTTTAAAATATTCTTTACTCCTTCCAAATGAAAAAGTTAATTGACATCAAAATATACATAAAAAAATAAGTCATTTTGAATGATGATAATAATAATGAAGTAATAAATAAAAATATACCATCTTTTCGTTTAATAGAAGAATTTTTTATGAAGAATACAAAAGTAATTATTGTGAATTTAATATTTTTGAAAATTGTTGTCTGTTTAAGCTTTATAGATTTAATTTAATAAATTTGTTCTCATTACTTTTATTATATATATAACAAAATTTTTACCCAAAATTGCATACTTAAAGATAAAAATATAAGGTAAAGTTTATTACTTATATTAGTGATAAAACATTTCAAAAATTTCAATCTTTTCATATGCAATTGTACTTTGCCAACATATATAAAAATACATACACTAATAATGCAATCAAATCATTAATAAAGCTTATCTTAATATGTACTATTTTACCATGAACAAAAAATTTTTGAAGAATATCCTAGAAATATTTACTTAATATATATTGTATATTTAGTTAATTTAGTTTTAATCCCTGCATTAGTATAAAAAATTGTGATTTTAACTTATTACTATGTCTTAAGCTACGGATAGTAAATTAAGAACATTTACTCATGGTTTTCAAATCATATACACTATAACTTTTTCTTCTTTCTTTCTTTACTTTAAAATTATATCATCTAGCATACATTATGGTTACTTTCCTTCTAGATATATATAAATCAATGATAATATAGTAGTAGATAATTAATAACTAAGTAGTTAATTATTAAAAATTTAAATGTAATTAGTATAACTTATTAATAAATTAGAGATAACTCGTTAATAATTGTTAACTTGTTGGTAAATTAGTAATAATATAATGATAAATGCATAATACCTTAATAGTAAATTATTTATAACATAATTGTAAATGTATAACAATATAGTACTAAATCAAGGATAACTTAGTAAAAATAAATGATAACTTAGTAGTTAATTATTGATAACTTGATAATAAATCAATGATAACTAAATAGTAAATCAATGATAATTTAATAGTAAATCAGTTTCAATTTAATAGTAATTAATTTATAGTAGTAAATCATAAAAAATTATTAATAAATCAATGATAAATTAATATTTAATAATTAATAATTTAGTACTTAATAATTAAAAACTTAAAAGTCAATCAATATAATTTAATAGTAAATCATTGATAACATAATATTTAATTAATGATAACTTAATAGTAAATCATACTAACATAATATTTAATTAATGATAACTTAATAGTAAATCATACTAAATTTAATATAAATTAGTAATAACTTGGTACTGAATCATAGATAATTTAGTGATAAATTAGTGATAATTTTGTAGTAAATAATCAAAAATTAAGTAGTAAATTAAGGATAACATAATAGTAAATAATAGCAAATTAAGGATAACATAATATAATAGTAAATTATTGATAATTAAGTAATAAATTGATAACTTAGTAATAAATTACTAATAATATAATAGTAAATTACTAATAATGCAATTGTAAATCAATGATAATTTAGTAGTATGTTAGTTAATTATTGATAAGTTTTTAGTAAATCATTAATAAATTAATAGTAAATCTATTATAATTTTATAATAAATTATCAATAACTTAGTGATAAATCACCTACAATTTAATAGAAATAATTCATAACGTAATGGTAAACCATTCATAAATTAATAGTAAATCATTGATAATTTAGTCATAAATCATTGATAACTTAATAATAAATAACTGATAACTTAATTGTTAATAATTGATAACATTTTTTATGCTTGAAGTTACCAAGGGATTGAACCATGATTACTAGCATAAATGAAATCAAAACTTTCATTTTGATACTATGATAAACCTACTATTAACCTATTCAATAAAAAATAGTGAAAATTTTCTAAACTCAAATCAAATAATAATATTATTATATAAAAAAATTATCTGATAGATTATTACTGGATTTTTTAAATTTCATGTCTCATAACTGTAAATATATAACAATGCATTAGTAATTTAATGATAGATTAATAAAAAACAACTAATAACTTAACAGTTAATTATTGATAATTTAATAATAAATTAATAATAATTTAATAGTAAATTAGTGATACTTAATAGTAAATCAGTTTTAGTTTAGTAGTAATTAATTGGTAAATTTAATAGTAAATTATAAATAACTTAACAGTAAATCAATGATAATTTAATAATTAATTATTGAAAACTTAAAAGTAAATTAATATAACTTAGTATAGTTAATTATCAATAATTTAATAATAAATCATAAATAATTTAATATAAATCAGTAATAACTTGATAATGAATTATGGTTAATTTAGTAATAAATATGTGATGATTTTGTAGTAAATAATCAAAAATTAAGTAGTAATCCATAATAACATAGTAATAAATGTATAATAACGTAATAGTAAATCATTAATAATTTAGATGTAAATTATCGATAACTTATTCATAAATCACTAATAATTTAGTTGCAAATTAGTGATAATTTAGTAGTAAATTAATTACTCATTGATAAATTTGTAGTAAATTGTTGATAAATTAACAGTAAATCGATTAAACAAATCATCAATAATTTAGTATTAAATCATCAATGATTCAATAATAAATCATTCATTCAGTAGTAAATTATTTGTAATTAATAGTAAATCAATATTAATTTAGTAGTAAATTATTTATAATTTAATAATATATAGTTTAATAGTAAATCACTGATAATATAATAAGAAATTAATAATAACTTAATTATCAATGATATTAATTATTGATTTATACTTGAAGTTATTAGGAATTAAATTTTAGTTACTTGTAGAAATAAAACTAGAAATTTTATTTTAGGATGTTAGGATAAATTTATTATCAATTTATTATGAATGAATCAACTTACACCAAGAAATTCTAATAATTAATTTTAATAAATCCAAAAAATGACATTAAACTATTTCTTTCTCTTTTTTACTTGATTCTCTCACTTCTTAGATCTATCATCTACTAATTTATTATAATTAATTTACTATTAATTTATCAATAATTTTCTGATTTGTTACTAATTTTATTTGATCTTTTTACTTATCCATCAGCTACTAATTTAAGTGTTGGTGTACATTCTAAAATGCTAATTTCGGTGTTCACTGACCATCTTTCAAGTCTTTCGTCATCGATCATTATGACAAATTTAGACATCAACAAGCTTAATTTTTTTAAAAAAGTATGATTATTAAATATCATATATTTTAGAAATATCATATATTTATTTTTCTATTTTAAATACCTTTTTGACCTTTCATACTTTTTTTTTTTTTTATTTCACAATTTTTTTCTTACAATATGGGAGAAAGCAAGAGATGGGAAGGATGCTTAAGAAAATCATGAAGGAGAGAGATAAAATAAATAATAAATATTTATTGTGATAAAAAAATTTTAAAAAATCTTCTATAAAAATTATATAATAAACAAAAAAATAATTTTTATGCTAAAAATAAAAGTTAATATCTAAATATAACTATAATTATATACTCAATTACTTTTTTAAGTTATTTTATTGGAGTTATCATATAAAATTTTTTGAATGGGGTTGCCATTTGTGTAATTTAAAAATTATTTGTCAAGGTACGACACATTTTGTTTTGATTTAAAAGATTGAGTAGTTTATTTATCTTCGAATTTTTTAGTTTAAAAAAAGTTATTATTTAATTTTTTAATATTATGTCCTTTATATAAATTTCTTCTAAAAAAATTATAAAAGTTAATAAATTTTAATTAAACTGATATTAACATATTTTAAAGTATAAAAATATAAATTATTTTTCAATTTTAAAAAATTTTTGGATCAGCAATAGGCAAATATCTAATTAGATATAAACCAATCAGCTTTTCCTACATCCTAACTAAAATTCATCTCGTTTGTTAAATCTCACTTAATTATTTGCTTATCAACTCCTTTAAACTCGATTCTCACAGAAATCGAATCAAAAGAATTACAAGGAAACTATTTTTGTTTTATAAATTATATTTTTTTTTATTTATTGGCTAGTTTAATCGTTAATGTTAACATGTTTATAACAAATTCTTTTTTGCCACATGCTTATAACAATTTTTGTTCAGGTTAGTTTTAGTTATTATAAACCAACCGGCTTATCCCGTACCCTAACCGGTCCATCCGGTTTCTTGACCCTCGGTTTAGTATTCCCCTCATCAACGCCCTTAACTCGGTTCTCATTCAATTGCCGCTCTCTCCCAGAAACCAATTCAAAAGAATTGTAAGTAAGCTCTTTTTCTTTTTTCAATTTTTTTAGTTTTTATTATTGGGTTGGAAATGTTAAAATGTTTGTTCCAATTTCTGTTAATTTTAGTTTTTTAAGTGGTGACCTAAGACTAATAATTCTGTCAAATGCAACTGTTTTAAATTTTATTTTTGATGTGTTTAATGTAAAAATGTTTGTTATAATTTTTTTTTTTTTTGTTTCTTCTCATGTTAGTTTTCTGAGTTATGACAAAAGACTTATAATTCTGTTGAATGTTTTGTTTTGTTAATGTTAAGGTTGTGATTTGTGAGAAGATGGCATCAAATTTGGAACCAATACCAATAACACCACAAAAACATGACCCAGCATGGAAACATTGTCAGATGTTTAAGAATGGTGAAAGGGTACAATTGAAGTGCATATATTGTGGCAAAATATTTAAAGGTGGTGGAATTCATAGGATTAAGGAACATTTGGCTGGTCATAAGGGTAATGCTTCTACCTGTTTGCGCGTCCCATCTGATGTTCGTCTTATAATGCGAGAAAGTTTAGATGTGGTTGTGGTAAAGAAGAGGAAAAAGCAAAAGATAGCCGAGGAGATAACAAATGTTAATCTGGTTTCTAGCGAGACAGACACGTTTGCTAATCAGGTTGACACTAATACTGGATTGCATATGATTGGAGAACCTGATACACTTGAGCCTAGTTCGAGTTTGTTAGTTAATCGGGAAGGAACAAGTAATGCTTCTGGGGAGAGGAGAAAGAGGGGAAAAGGTAAAATTTCTGCTGCTGAGGCTAATGCCCTTATTGTTAGCACGGTTGAGTTAGGTGCAAAGAGAGTAAACAATCATGTACATATGGCTATAGGAAGATTTTTGTTCGATATTGGAGCACCTTTGGATGCAGTTAATTCAGTTTATTTCCAACCAATGGTTGATGCAATTGTCTTAGGAGGATCTGGGCCATTAATGCCTTTGCGTAATGATCTTCAGGGTTGGGTATTGAAGAAATTGGTGGAAGAAGTGAAGAATGATAATGATAAAGTAATGGCAGCATGGGTAAGGACTGGTTGTTCTATTTTGGTCAACCAATGGAACACTGAAACTGGTAGAATCTTGCTAAACTTCTTGGTGTATTGTCCTGAGGGAACAGTGTTTTTGAAATCTATAGATGCTTCTAGTGTAATAAATTCCTCAGATGCTCTGTACGAATTGCTTAAGCAAGTGGTGGAAGAAGTTGGATTTAAGCATGTGTTGCAAATGATCACAAATAGTGAGGAACAATACATTGTTGCTGGGAGGAGGTTGGCTGAAACTTTCCCTACTCTGTATTGGACCCCTTGTGCAGCTCAATGTGTACACTTGATACTTGAAGATTTTGCAAAACTTGAGTGGATAAATGCAATACTTGAGCAAGCTAGATCTATTACAAGATTTATCTATAATAATAGCGTGGTCTTGAATATGGTAAGAAGGTATACTTTCGGCAACGATATTGTTGAACCAGCAGTCACTCGCTCAGCTACAAACTTTACAACATTGAAACGGATGGTTGATCTTAAAAACAACTTGCAGGCCATGGTTACTTCACAGGATTGGATAGACTGCCCATATTCAAAGAAACCAGGGGGGCTGGAGTTGTTGGATTTGGTGAGTAATCAGTCATTTTGGTCCTCCTGTGTTCTGATTACCCAGTTAACCAATCCTCTCCTTCGAATTCTTAGAATGGTCGGGAGTGAGAAGAGGCCTGCAATGGGATATGTTTATGCTGGAATGTATCGGGCAAAAGAAACAATTAAGAAAGAATTAGTTAAGAGGGATGACTATATGGTCTATTGGAATATTATAGATCACTGGTGGGAACAACAATGGCATCATCCTCTTCATGCTGCTGGTTTTTACCTTAATCCCAAGTTCTTTTATAGCATGGAAGGAGATATGCCTAATGAGATGCTGTCAGGGATGCTTGATTGTATAGAGAAATTGGTTCCTGATGTAGAAGTTCAGGATAAAATCAGCAAGGAGATAAACTCGTACAAGAATGCTGTTGGAGATTTTGGGAGGAAGATGGCAGTTAGAGCTAGAGACACTCTACTTCCTGGTGAGAGTCTATCCCATAGATGCTTTGTAATTTTTGGCTGCTATATTTACCATAATTTATGCTTCTAATAAATAGTATTTAATAGATTCTTTTTATTTCCTGCTATTAAATTTGAAATGAAATTCTTTTTTCTTGACATGCTTTTACTGAATGTCCTAGAATAATGAAGTCATAAATATGCTGTCTTTCATGCTTTGGTTTGAATAAGTTGTTGCTTTGGCCAAGGTGTGGCAATTATAACCATTAAAGAACCTTCAGGAGCAAAACCGATAGCTAATTTATAGGTGAATTGAATTGCTGTATGCATTGTTTTCATCATTACGGTTATAGATAACTTGAATTCCAAAAGGTTTACTTGTGTTTGGGCAATGGATAATATGTCAAACCTATCTGGTATGAAATACCTTCGATGCACATATAGCATGCATGTTGAAGGCATAATGCGTGTATTTCACCATCTTTGCCTGTTCTGATATCCTTTCCTTAATATCTTTATATTAGCTGATCTTCACTTTGTATACTGCTTGTTATAGCTGAATGGTGGTCAACGTATGGAGGAAGTTGCCCAAATTTGGCTCGTTTGGCTATCCATGTCCTTAGTCAAACTTGTAGTACTCTTGGGCTTAAGCAGAATCAAATTCCTTTTGAAAAAGTGCATGAAACAAGGAACTGCTTAGAGCACCACCGGCTCAGGGACCTCATCTTTGTTCAATGCAACTTGCAATTAAGACAAATGTATGTGGAATCTCACTCATTGATGGATTTTGCATTTAGTGAGACAGAAAATCTTATCTTTAGCTAATTAATTTTCTTTCAGAGGTTATGAGAGCAAGCAAGAGGATTCTATGCAACCCATGTCATTTGAGGCTGCCACTATTGTGGAAGACTGGGTTACGGGAATGGACACAGTTTTGGAGGATGATACCTATTCAGATTGGATGAAACTTGATGCACTTTCTGTAAACACAATGCTTTTAAGACCTTCAAGTGACGAAGTGGAAGAGTTAGGTGCAGGTATTATTGTTTCTTGGATATGATAATCTCACCGAAGAAGTTTCTCTCTCTTTATTTATATATTTATTTGATCTTTTCATGCAGTTTTTGATGATTGTGAGATTTTCAATAGAGTGAAAGAGGGTGACGAGGAAAATGCTGAAGATAATGTAGTAAGCTAGCAGAAGACCATTTCTAATCTGGATAATCCTAGATGGTGACTAACGTTTTCTGCACTGATATCAGCCAGACAAATAGTGTAAATTAATGTAATGACTAGCTTTATATGAAATATTCTATCATTCTGTTAAAAAAAGTAGAAACATCACAGAAAATTAGATTCTAGGATTTGACAATATATTAGCAATTTTTATCAATTCAGGGTTAGAGTAATATAGAAAGTTCAAGTGTAGTTGTGGTTTTTATTTTAATGCAAAAAAAGGCATTTTAAAGCACATGCTCAACCATTTGGCTGATATTTTATCTTGGATATGACTTAGCATGGACTCTGAGGTCTAATAACATGAATTCTTGCTAACCTCTGATGTGGGAATTACATTATAGCTACTTGGCTATTTGAATTCAGCATAATTTTATCATCGTGACTGCAGTTCATCCGAGTTGGTTATCCCTAATCTTTGATCTTTGCTTGAGTATTGCAGAGAAGATGGGCATGAACCTTCCTGCAGCTCCAATCATTGTCATTCATTTCCCTTTCCTTTTTGGTTTTTTCTCTTTTTTTTTTTTTTTTTTTTTTTTTTTTTTTTTTTTTTCTTGAAGAGATTGAAAACATTAGCAGTACTAAACTGTGGCATTGTTGATGCTGAAATGCATGATTCTGAAGCAGTGGATATGGTGAAGTCTCAAAAGAGAACAATAACAGTAAGGGAGGCTTCTTTACCCAATTCTGACTGATTATCTTTTTTTCCTTTATTCTGACCAGTTTTTTACTTCCTGCCCTGATTGAAGAAGCATCTAAATTCATTGGAAGATTAAATTATTGATTTCATTTGTGTTCTAAGTTTCTGTGCTGGTTTGGATGATTGGTGGCAGTGTATGTTGGTTGTTCATTTCACTTTATTCCTAATAACAAAGAAGAAAATTTTTGGAAATTCGCTCAAGATGATTGAATACTCAAGCTTGACCTACTTTCATTTAGTTGTTTGATCTTCTTAGAAGGTTGGCTGGTACTTTGATGCTCATCTCCCGCCTAAGGGAAACACTAGCTCATTCTCTGTGGATATTCAAGTTTGCATTTTGCATCATTCGATGGCCTGTGAAAAAGCCTTCTTATCCATTCCACCTTTTGGGTCTTATAATGCTTTATATGTTTTTCGCATGAACACCTGTAACAGGTAATGTCGTTGGTGCCCTTGTGGCTAATTTTTACAATGGTATGATTGGTCTATTTTGATGCATTGGCTCCACTAAAATAGTTGTGCTGTGTTTGCCCACAACAGTCTAAAATGGCAAACGATTCCTGTTAAACTCCGGTATACTCACTTGAGAATCTCGTAAAGAAATTGCCCTGGTAAACATGGCTTCTTTCCTTTTTGTCCATGCTCTTTATTTCTTGTCCCCTATGCACCTACTAATTTAATTGTCTGTTTGGTAGATAGGACATGAACTTGTTTCCTCCAGTAAATGAACCAACTTTCCTTCCAGGTCAAGTTTTAATTTACCTAGGAAAAAGCCAGGAGGTCTGAGGTAAATTGTTTAACACCACTTGCCCTCTTTGTTGAAGTCTTACAGCTACAAGTTGGATATGCTTTAATTGTCTGGGAATAAGATCAAACTTCCTGGTGATTGCTTATCTGTCCTTAATAAAAAAGATTGGTAAACTTTACCTATCAAGTTGCTGAATGGAATTTTGAACATACAATTTTATAGTCACTCCAATCAACAACCTCAAGAATTTTGGTTTTTTGCTGTGTTATTGGACTTTCGGTGCAAAGGAAAGCACCAATTTATTTATCTGTAAGGGAAAAACATATAGATTCTTTTGCAATCCAGGCCCACGAAGTTAGTCGGTGCTGCTCGTCTTGCCTGTGGCAAGTAGGATGAATCAATTAGAGACTGCTCTCAAACTAATACGAGAAGGTACTCAAAGAATGATTCAAGTAAATGAAAGGCAAGTTAAAAATATATGGGTTCTGCGGTGGAAAAGTTTGGTATTCAATTTCAGAACATTGTTCTGGACTAAAACGACATGGGTATTGATCGAACCTTCATTTTATAATTGTGAAACAGTTTCTTGGCATTAACAGTTGGCAGATTGGCTATTAACGACTTTGCTTCAGCTACCTCTGCCAACACCTCGAGACATTCTTGAGAATATATTTAACTGATAACTTCCTTGAAAGGAAGAAAAAGAAACATCTTTTGGTATTCGCAAAATTACATATAAACCCTCACCACGTTTTACATTGAGTTACAGCAAAAATATTACTGAAAGGCAAAGAATTCTGTGTTTCTACGCTGGCTATCTGCCTTGCTTCAATATCTACATCCCTGTCTTCAGATGCTGATGAGAATGCCCTAACCTTGTCGAAATATGATGAATTTGGATATGAATGCACATAATCTTCAAAGCCGGTACCACCACTTCCATAACAATTTTTGCTATCATATCCGCCAGGTAATGGCACCACTTCCCTCTCCAACCTCATTGTAGGCCTTGCTTCCGGCGCATCATTGGAACACATCAATCCGAGTTTGATCACAACAACAGCTTCTAGCTGATCAAAGTCACCATTCAATTGTGGATCCACAACCTCAAGAGCTGCTTCACTTTGCCATCTTTCCCACACCCAGTCCACCAAAACTAGCTCGTTAGGCAATGCCTTTGGCTCAATAGGTCTCCTCCCACATACCACTTCAAGTAGAAGTGCACCAAATGCAAACACATCTGTACTTGTAGTAGGTTTACCAGTTTTTACAAGTTCAGGCGCTAGGTACCCCAATGTACCAACCACCCAGGGTGTGCTTGGGTTGGCGCCGTATAACTTAGCAAGACCAAAGTCACCAAGCCCGCCATTTAGCTCAGAATCTAACAGAACATTGCCTGCTTTGATGTCTCTATGAATTACAGTCTGTTCCCATTCTTCATGCAAATATAGAAGACCTGAAGCTACACCTTTGATTATCTTTAACCTCTCGTCCCAACTGAGAACTCGTTTACGGTCATCAAACAGGTACTTGTCCAATCTACCGTTGGGCATAAAATCATAGACAAGTAATAGATCACCTCTACACCGACACTCCTAGGAGCTGAACAAGATTTCTATGGCGAAGACGGCCAACACTAGAAATCTCAGACACAAATTCTCTTAGCCCTTGTTTTGATTCATGAGAAATTCGCTTCATAGCAACTTGAGTATGTAGAGTTCCTTCGTAAACTCTGCCAAATCCACCAAACCCAAATAGCTCATTATCTCTGAAACCTCTTGATGCTTTCTCGAGACTTTGGTAAGAGAATCTGTGAGGACCAACTTCCAACTCGCAGGTCTCATTCATGTATGAATTCTTCATTTTTCTAACAAGGTCAAACGAGATAAAAACAATTGATATCATTACAAGGACAACTGAAAAGGTAACACAAAGAATTAGGATAGTGTGATTCTTTTTAGGCCTTGGAAGAGAAGGCAGAGAAGGCAGAGATTCAGCCTCTCCACTCATGTTAAAACTCCATCCCAAGATAGGGTTATAATTTCAATTCAAGATTAGTGGATTAAAATCTTGGTATAGACAACCAAGAAAAGAGGATGTAGGTGCCTTATGGAGAAGCACTGAACCTCTATTAGTTCTTGTGTTAGATTTCTCTATCTTTATCTCTTTACTTTGCATTTGGTTTAAGATTATCAATTTATTGTTATTTGCATCATATTTTGATATTGATCTTAATTTTCCATTTAATTATTTTGAAATCATTGTTTGGGAAAATTTTGGAGAAATCCAATTCACCCCCTCTTAGATCATCATGTCACATAAAAAGCTAACAATTGGTATCAGAGCTTTGGTGTTTTTTTGTAGGTTTAACCATTTTAAGTAAAGATCTTATAGCTCAATTTAGGTTCCAAGATGGTGAGAAAATCTTCAAAGCTCCCATGTTTAATAAATTTAAATTTTGTGAATGAAGAAAGAGGATGAAGATGTTCATAATGGCCCAAGATTTTAAAGCTTAGAATGTGATAGAAAAAAGGCTTGAAATTCCTTCAAATGATACAAACTATACAAGGCAAGTGATGGATGATGCAAAGGCCAAGTACATTCTCTATAGAGCTCTTGACTCTCACAACTTCACTTTGGTCTCAAATTGCTCCACTTCAAATGAAATATGGAAGAAGTTGGATGAGCTACATGAAAGATAAATTTTCAATCGAAATGCATCATGCATATTGAAGAGCCTAAGGTAACCTCTAACCTAATTGATTCAAATTCATATTCTTTTGATTAATTGCAAAATGCCTTTGATGAGTTAGTTATGGAAGTTAAGTCAATGAAAATGAAATATAAGAAAATGATTTCAAAATTGAATGTTGAAAATGATTTTTTGATAAATGCAAAAAATATTTTGGAAAAAGAAAATGAAAAATTGAAAATAGATTTTGAAACCTCTCAAAGTAGAAATGAATTTCTAGAAAAATAAAATATTGTTTTGAAAAAGAAATTTGATGAATTGATGAATGAAAAAAAAAAGGCTTTTAAAGAATTCATTAAGTACTAAAATGATTAAATGCAATTTTTGTAATTTTTATGGTCATACTACATATACTTGTCCTATAAAAAGAAAAGTTTCAATTAGAATTAGATAAGTATGGGTTCATAAAGAAACAAGAGATTTGGTGACTAACTCTTAAGGACTCAAAGCAATTTGGATACCAAAAATCAAATGAGATTGTCTCTTATAGGTGTGCTAGAGCAAGGAGCTACAGTATGAGATTGAAAATTAAATACGCTAGACACACAATAGAGATGAATAACCTCTAAACTTTTGTTTTAAGTGAATATGAAATTGGTTGCCTATTCTTGTTGAACATTGAGTGCTTAATGGATATTGGTATATGCTTTATAATATATTTTGAATATATCAATTTTATTTGATATATGTGAGCTTGAACTAAGTATGCATTTATTGTTTCTCTTGAATGTATGATTTTAATATATTTTTCATGCTTGTTAATATTGTGTTTAATATTTATTTGCTTAAGATATATTTTTAGGAGAATTCATGAATGCTCTAATGAATTTGTGGGATTACATGTGAATGCTCTTAATATTGAGATTGCATGAATGATCTTGATATTTTGATCTTATTTGTGAAATTGACATTCTTGAGAACTTGTGCTTATGCATGATTGTGGATATAAATGTTAGATATTGATGATATCATGCATACTTTGTGAAATTGTTATTGGTACTTGATGTGATAAATTATGTGTTAAATTGTTTTTATATTTATGCACAACTTAGGGAGAGCACTCAAAGCTTAATGATTTTAAGACTTTATGCTTTGCTTTAAAAATGATTATTATTAGAGTCAAATCTTAAAATATGAAATTTTGTTTTAGCAAGCTTTTTATTGTAAAATGAATTTGAATATCTTGAATTCAATAATTTAAACTTACTCAAACAAAGAAAACTTGAGAACTTGCATTGGTTTTAATTTTTCATAATGTTACATTCAAGTTTCAAAGATTTTGAAGCTCAAAAGGTCCAATTTTGT